AAGAGTGAAAAATTGAAGGGGGTCTGAATACTTTCCGTACCCACTGTAGATAGATAGATAGATAGATAGATTCGGTTCAAAATAGGAACGGTTCAACTTACAGTTCGGTTTATAACACGGTTTTAGAGTCACGGTTTCGGTACGGTTCGGTAAAATAAAATAAAAAATTTTAATTTGAAAAATGATTTTCAGTTTTTTTTAGGTAGGTCTAACAGTTTTCAGGTACAGAAATTGAATAAAGTAATGAAATGTAAAACAGCATTGCATATTTGACTGTATAAATTAAAGATTAATCTTTATGAAAGTTACAAAAGCTATTCAATCAAGAGCAGTGAGTGATTTATTTGTTGTTGCTGTTTGATTAATATTAAGAAAGTGCTGTCACTTTAAGAGAATGCACTGATCCAGTGCACTGATACAGTACGGTCATTCAGCCGGATATGTCTGCTATAGGATACTTACCAAGACGGGCATTTTGACATAATTTTTGTGTGAATTTGTCCATTTAAACACAATACTTCAGAGAGAGCTTAATATTTGCGCGCGTTCTGAGGCGCGGGTTTGCGCGCGTCGGATGAGTGCACGTACAAATCTTCTCACTGCGCGCACGAGCTCGCGTCCTCTGGCTCTTAAATGTTTAAACTGGCAAAGCTTAAACGAGTTTAGCTTAAACACAGATATCAACATGCTGTTCAAGTCTTACCTGTTCGCGCGCGCTATCAGCACCCGGGTGATGATGGAATAAATACTCATATTCCAGCATACGGCATTCGCATTGAACAAGAGTGAATGGTTTGTCCACGTTTTTTTTTCCATCGCTGTTGTTGTAATGTCCATGGATCCCAGAATGCTCATCCATCAACAGAAACATATATTAGCCGAACCCTGTTTGTTTTACGTGTTATTTATAGCAAACCATATTACAGATGCGTTGTCAGATTTAAGTTGAACCGCGGTCCTAGCACGTGCCGAACCGTGTGTGGAGAACCGTACGGTTCGATTTTTTTTCCGTGAACCATTCTACCCCTAACATATATATATATAGCAATTAAGCAATTAAGTGATTGGGCTGCAATCAACTATGGTCATACAGTCTATGTAGTACATGGTTTATACAGTATGTGTGTAGCATGTATAATTGTTGAAAGTATATTGTTTAATTTAGTTTTTTTAAGGTTTTATTGGATATAAGTAAATATCGGCATATAAGATTATTTCAGCTGTGCTGTACCTTGCTCAGAGTCAGTGGAGATGGTGGAGCCCATGCTGTCAGTGCGAATGCGCTCTAAGCCCTGTACAGAGAGCTGCTCCAGGCGCCGTTTGAGGTAGCGATGTTCTCTCTGCAGTTGCTCCTTCATGTTTAGAGCCTTTCTGTCCTGTTCCTCCAGCTTCTGCAGAGCATAAGTTTCCACTGATCAAACCACAGAGCACAGAAACACCACACTGCAAGACATGTATCATCTATCATTGCCCAGAGCATGCACAATGCAAGAAATCCACAGTTTTGTGAGCTCAAAAAGGGAAACAATCACATTAACAGAAAGACAGATCTATACTGCATGACAGGAAACCAGGCAGGTTGAGCTGAAATACAGTGTATCAAACAGGAAAGAAACAAAATGGTCAGCAGACACATGGTACCGGGTTTTCTTTGTCTTGTCTCTTTCACACACTTTAAGTGACAGTTTGCTGAACACTTTCCATTCCACTGAGGCTTACACCCATTTTAATTAGACAGAGATAAATCAGTCAGTGACATAAAAAGTGTCCATGATAAAGAAAAGAAAGAAAGCTCGTTTTTTTTTATTTTTATTTTTTTTTAAGTTTCAGTGTAATGACTTTCAAGATGTTATGTGGTGTAACCAAGTATAAAGTAACCTTGAAAACATGTTACTGTACACAACTTAATTAGTATGTTAAAAAAAGAGATCTTATTGCAAGTCATTTTTATTTTGATTTATTTATTTTACAAATGTCATGAATTATTCATTCACAAATATCATTTCGTTTTTGGGAAGTCACACCACATAGCATTTTACAACCTAAACTTAGCTTCCCTTGTCATAAAAAGGTGAAATTTTCTTATATTTTAAGAGAGATTTTGACCTTAACACAAATTCATGAGGGTCTGCAGGGTACCTCTCTATGGTATAATTTTCTGTTCTGCTGTTTTGCTTTTTTCCCTTCATGCTTATACATGTATAGATGCCCCATTCGACTGAGTCCAGGAACATAGATGCGGCCGCAATCTTGGAACGGTCAACTTGACGTCATTCACCATACTGTAGGTTCGCACAGAGCCGTTGAGCCGGTCTGTGCAGGATTGTGGCATCTTTCGAATATTCAGTGATTACTATGGTGAATGACGTCAAGTTGACTGTTCCAAGATGGCGGACGGCTTATGTATAGCAGCCCATAGAAACAGTAGCTAATGAGGCATCTATGTATACATATCTATGGGATGGACCACATGATTATATTGGTCGCACTACATAACTTTGATTTGGCAGATGAGTTGTTTTTAAATAATAAGCAATAAAACGGTTTCTTTTCCAGAATTTCATTCTTTTAATAATTTTTTTCCCTTGATGATATCAGGACAGTTGTATCACACTAAAATGTTTTCTTCATAGTACCACACAAAAATATCAATGTGAATCTTAATTCAGCAATTGCCTCATATAATGCTGCAATGATTCAATGATTTTAAGCTGGAGTAAATTACCATCTCAATCATGTCAGTAACTGTGGGTCATTGAGTTGCAACATGGAGAGTGACAAACTTCCTGTAGACAGTTCCTGATTAACTTCCCTTCTCACTGTAACTGCTTTAAGCTGCTCTAACCTCTTTACTGCTTTGCAAACAGAGATACTGTCAGAAAGATGCTGATTTGTTTGTACCTTGATGTGCATTTTGGCGCGTTTGAGCAGGCTTAGTGTGGTGTGACGGGTGCTATCAGGACCCAAAGGCACAAGCTGTTTCAACTGTTCCAGGTACAATCGCAGTTTGGCACGTCTGCAATAAATAAAGAACAGGTTGGAGTGAAGTATTACCCTGGGATAAATTCAGAACTTTAGAACTGATTCAGGATGCTGCTGTGGGCTGCTAACAAAAAGGCTGCTGGTTTGAAGCCACGCAGGCATGACTGAGGAACTAGATTAATGAGATGTGATTGCAGCTTTATGTAAGAGGACTGGTCCTGTGATTGATTTAAAAAACAAAAAAATAACCAAAACTCTACAAAAAAGACTCCACAGATACTAAGGATGTGTCACGTAATTAGGGATGGGTATCGTTAAGGTTTTAACGGTATTACTACTCTTACCGATACTGCTTATCGATTCGGTACTTTAACGGTATTCTTATCGGTACTTTTTGTTTTACGCGTAATACATTTATATTGACGGGCATAGAAAACAGAATTGAGGGGGATAAAATCGTTCAATATAAAGGCCCTTTCACACCAAACCAAAAGTGAAACAAACCACTGGTCTATTAATATCATGTGCAAAATTAATCTTTTGCATATTTTGTAATTAATACTACCATATAGATGTAAAGCAAATTCATGGCTTGTCAGAACAAGTGGATTGACACAAACAGTGAGAAGTCTTAATGCTGTTCTACTCCATATCAGCAATCCTAGCCCTTAGTTAAATTTGAGGACTGGAACTAACTGCAGCTCAACATAGCGGCTGTAGTAAAGGAAGTCCCACGTTTCATCTAAAAGAGGCAACAGCTTTTCTGGAAAGCATCAGCTTTTTTTTTATTGATTTATGCTAAAGAAGAAAATAAATTATATTAATTGTTCTTAATTTTTATCTGTGATTTGACATGTTATTGATATGGTAAGACTTTTCCATCTTTCCAACGTAAAGTAGATAAAAATATCTGTAGATCAAGTTACCAAGGCAGTTGCAGAACAAACTGACTTTCCAGAAATAGACTTTGCCAGAGTCCATCAGAATGAGGCGACTCAGGCAGACTGGGGCTCTAATCTGGAGGAAGTGACCCTTTTTGGAGAAAGAGACCATTGACCGTAGTGTGCTTAGCTGGTGTGGGCAAAGCCAGTCCTTTTACACCCCTCAAAAGACAGAAAAATGTTCATACTGTATATGACTGACTCTCATGTGAATATCCACACACAACTTTATAGCCAGTTCTCAAAAGCACAAAAACATCTTCATCTGCAACAAATCGTTACTTGCTTACAAAAGTGAAATGGAAGTGGATGTAAATGTATCTCTTTCTCTGTGGACTTTTTGAGCTATACCTAACCTGCGAAGCCTCATGAATGACTCTACAATGGCCTTGACACAAGCACACCTAACAAAGTTACACTTATTTGTTCTTTACTGTGCCTCCTCTTCATTGTCAAAGTGATCTTAAAGAGCCTTGTACTGTTTGTGGAACAAAAATTAATCAAGTCCACAACTATGTAACTAAAAAGTAAAATGTTCAAAAAATAACATTTATTTAAAATAAAGGAAATATTATTTGCCCAACTTTTGTTGGCCACATTTCTTAAAATACTGTGATGGAAGTAACTCAAGGTAAAAGCTTTGGGTTAAAATTGATGAACTTGCCAAGTTAACTTGTTTTGATACTTTTTGTGGTTCATCTCAATCAGTTTTATTCAATCAACTGGTACCACATAAGCTGCTACAACCAACAGATTGGGTCCAGTCTTATTTGCAACCATACTGTTGTACTGATCAAAATAAAATTTTAACAGAATTTAAAGAAAGCCTGGAGAGTAAATTATAATACAGTACCTACTAGCACAGAGGCTATTTGAAATAGGCCAGGCGTCACATCATCATAACTCTGTGAATGATTAACATGAGCTAAAATAACAGGACAGTGTGCTCGAGCTTCTCTTTCTGGTCCTTCACTGCTTTTCACAGCAATAGTGTACATGTATAATTTCAATCAATAATGTAGCAAGACTTTTCATGCAAATACTTGTTGAAATAGCCCGTAAGGTTTCAACTCCTGAAAATCTGATCTCACCAAAAGTGCAGTGATCTGATTTCTGGGTCAAACAGTCAAGTCACTTTTATTTGTATGGCAGTATTCATAATACATAATGTTCCAAAGCAGCTTTACAGAACATGGAGCCTTAAAACCCCCACTGAGAAAGCATAATTTGACTGTGGCAAGGAAAAATTCCCCAAGATGTTAGGTAGGATAAGAAATAAACTTTGGAAGAAACTAGACTCGGTTGGGGTCAATTCAGTCAAAACAATAACAAATAAATGCACTTGACTTAAACTTGAGGTTTACATGGCTGAAAATTCACAAAGAAATTCCTGTGGGCTAAGCTAATTTTACTAGATGCATAATCAGTTAGTGTACAACTGTACAAAGTTCTACCTGCAGATCTGTGAAAACACAGGAATGCTGGGTAGCCTGTGAAGAACAGGCACAGCATGAATTCCACTATAAACACATACAGTAAAGTTGCAGGTTCAGGCACATCTTCAGTGAACTGGATTGCTGTGTTAACAGATTTTTGCTGACCATTCCAGCAAAGAACTGTTTAATTTCTCAGACCATGTCAGAGATCATTCTGCTGCACTACATCCTGGTGTTTTTTGCATAGAGGAATGTGTCCAGTGTTAATGCCCCCCAAGATATGTGTCTGAGCTTCAGACAATCCACTAACTAATTAATTATTAAAATACACAGTTTTGCACATCCATGTGTAGGCTTACATGTTAATGCCTTTTTTGATAGGGTATCATTTAGAAGTCGACCGATACCGATAGCTAGGTTGGACCACACTGGCCGATACCGATTAATTAACCGATAGTTTTTAAAATGGATACTGAACAAAAACTAAAATAGTGCTTTATTAAAAAAAACAGTACTGAACCATACTACTACTACTAGTAGTAGTAGTAGTAGTAGTAGTAGTAGTAATAATAGTAAATGTTGAAATTAACACACTCTAACAAGGAACAATACGTACACAGCTTTCATTAATCTTAATGTTACAAATGGGACTCTTATTTTAAAGTGTTAACATTTCATTTCAACAGTCATGCTTAAAGATGCACATCTTTAAATATATACACAAAGGCCATAGCATTCAAATTATATACATATGGATATTTTATGTATACTCTCATGCTTTAACTGCTTCTATTCTTGAACACTTGATTATCTCAACAAAATAAAAGCGCAGCGCTGAGTCTAGGAGAACTCACCGGTATCACACACACTCTGGACGCGTCGCGTTCAAGTCGAGCAGCAGTCTAAAACAGTTTATTTAATCACCAAAAGGACACAAGTTTACTTCATGAATGAACAATTTGGCATAGATGAGTTTGAAGTTCGGTGTTTAAAAAACGGAGCAAACGGAAAGAGAAAGCGCAATCTATATTATAGCTCTATAAATGAAGCATTAACAACAATTCGGGACAAATATAATGTAATTTAATGGAAAACTATGTGAATGGCGCTCTGTGGCGCGGCA